TCACTGCCATCGTCTCCGCCGTCGCTGCCATCGTCGCCGCCGTCGCTGCCATCGTCTCCGCCATCACTGCCATCGTCTCCGCCATCGCTGCCACTGTCGTTGCCGTCGCTGCCGTTGTCATCATTCTGACACGCGGGGCCATTACAGCTAGGCGAGCCGCCCTAAAGACTCAGTCAGTCAACGGGAACTTTGGAGGCCGTATAGAATCTGTGGGTGACTTACGTTGCCGTCGTGGCCGCCGTCCACGCAGCCAAGTCCAGTGCAGCCACAGCCGGCCGGCCCACCTACAGAATGTCAACTTCCTGCATATCTGTTAACGAGGTAGGGTGTGGGCTGACTTACAGCCATCATCGCTCCAAAAGGGCCCCGTACAGCCCAGAAGGCTGCATCCCCACCCGCCACAACCAAAGATCCCGCACCCGCCGTCACACCCAAAGGGACCACAGGAATCCCCTACAGGTGGGCATCCAAACAAGCAGTTCCTCGTTGGACAGTCGGACGCTGTACATGAGGGCTCGGTGCTGGCTGAGCTTCGCGTGTAGGAAAGCGGGTGCGTGGTGCTAGTCTTTGTCCCCGAGATGACCGGGTAGTCTGTGCTTGCAATGGGAATGGTGATGGAGGGCTGCGGCTGGATAGTGGCCCACCCACCGCCCCATACCGGCGCACCGCCCGTGTAGTTCCTGGTCGTGGCGGTCTCTGCCGGGTCCCGCGGCGCTATGCCCACACTGATTGTGGCCTGGTCAGGGGCGAGGCTGATGGATGCGGCGGGCGGCATGATACTCTGAACTGGGGTGATGATGCCGGTGCTTCCATCTGCTGTGCCAATCGTGACTGGCCAGAAGGGCACCTCCGACACGGTGAAGGGGTCGAGGGTGATTATCGTCGTGACGGTGATGGTCCGCGAGCCGCTGGACGAGTAGATACCAATGTCATAGGCCGGCCAGGTCACGGTAACGGGGGTGGCCAGGGAGATGGGTGGCAGGAGAAGCGTGCATGGCGGCTCGCAGCCCACAGTCGGCGAGGGCTCAAGCCAGACGCCCGGGTCGACGTAGACGATGCCTGTATCTCCCCCTGTTCCTGAGCCTGAGCCTGAGCCATCTCCAGAACCGCCACTGGTGGTGCCATTGTTGCAGACCTCAGACGGGCAATAGCCGTGCTGGCAGCTCCATGCGCAAAGCCCCCAGTCCTCCAGTCCGTCTATCGGGGTGGCCGTGACATCCACGTACAGACTGCTGGAGTCAACCAGGGCTCCTTGAGCATCGCACTCGCACGCACGTATTGGACAGAACCCGCGCCCACAGGCGAAGTCGCACAGACCCTTTAGCCCGTCCGTCACAGTTGACAATACATGACCTCTAACGCACGCGGGCGGGGTAAAGTCCGAGACTGTCGGGGTGCTCAACGGGGCAGAGACAGTCGAGCACGCGGTATCGGGGCAATAGCCTCTCTCGCAGTCAAAGGCACATACACCAGAGTAGCTCGCATCCTCGCCGGCAATGGGGTATCCCACGGGGCTAGTGGCGGACGGACCGGCAACGGGCGCGCCAACGGCTTGACACACACAGGCTGAAATCGGGCAGTAGCCGTACTGGCAGGAGTATTGGCAGATTCCGGCGAAATTATTGACGCCCGTGCCTTGGATGCAGGCCTGTTCGCTGCGGGTCAGCGCCGGGGTGGCCGCGGCCATGCTGGGGCCGTCCGCCTCGCCGACCCAGGCGTTCCAGTTGCTCAGCCCGGTGGTGCAGGTGTTGGAGATTGCTGGGCCGCCGGATATCTCTGCGATGACGGCGCCGCCTCGCGAGAGCGTGATCACCACGTCTCCGACGCCGTTGAAGGGGACGCTGCCGTGGTAGAGACCGATGCCTCCATCCGGAGTCCACGTCCAGGAGCCCGTTTGTGCCGCGCCGCCAATCGACACCGTGACCGTGGCGTCTGACGCAAGGAGAGCCGTGTAGAAGATCTTATCCTCCATGACCTCGTACGGCTCGAATTCGACCTGCAGCTGGGAGGCCGTGTTTCCCGTTGTGTCGCCTGTGCCGCACGACTGGCCGGGCGATGTACGATACCAGCCGACCAGTCCCTCCTGCGTGATGGATGGCATGCCGTTCTTATATGACTCAATGACCCAGGGGAGAAACTTGCGCCAGCCGTCGTGCGGCATGCCTTGGACATAGTTGATTGGGGCCTTGCCAATGCCCATCGGGGCCTCATAAGCATATTCGTATAGAGGTCCGATGTAGTGGCTCTCGCCATAGTCATTCCAGGAGATGATTTCAACAAACCTGCATCCTGCGATTAGCCAGAGATCTGTCAGGAGACCAAAACGACTCACTCAGGCAGGGTGTATATGACTTCCATCCACCGCTCATACCAAAGGTCGTCGCCCTTCCAGCACCAGTTCTTGTTATACCCAGGCAAGTTGGTGTAGAACCATGGCGACACCGCCATCATATACGGCAGTCCGGTGCCAGGATCAGGGGAAGATATGTTCTTGTCCATGTAATTATAGTACGACCCGTCACTGCATCCGATCTGTTAGCCTGGTCAAGCAATCCAGCGGCAAACTCACGTATAGGTGTCAATGCTCCGGGTGCCCCATGGCCACTAGAACAGTCAGCAGACTAACGCAAAGGATTCAAACGCAAGGGAACACCTACAGCAGCCCAGTTGAACAGCCCATCGACAACGTCGCCGCCACCAGCCTCAAGCGCCGCCTTCGCACCAAGGGATGACCAGTCCGGCACGAAGAAGCATCCTGTCGTCAACTTGATCTCCGTCCAGTCTGCAGCTTGCCCAGGCCCCTCAAAGGTCGAGACAAACGGCTGGCCGTTGTACTTGTAATACGCCGCGTTATTGAAGTACTGCGTTCCATAGCTGATCACCACGTCCTTGGGCCAGGGCCCAGTCCCGCCGGCATAGTCGAAGGAGAAAAATAGGGACAGGCCAGAGCCCTGCGCCGCTTGGAACGCCAGTGAAACTGAGTCAGCGATGCTGTCGTCGCCGTACGCGATGTTCAGGGCGAAGGCGTCGAGTTTCGCCTCTACCGCGAGGCGGATGTCGGTTTGCCAGTCGGCAAGGGTGTAGTTGTTGGCATTGCCAACCTAAGCCTGTTAGACGGACAGAGCAAGCACGACGGGCGTTTGCGAGCTGGAGGAGACGTACCATGAAGTGCGCAAAGACCGCGCCTGCAGAGGCATGCCCAACTGCGGCAAGAACGCTGAGAAGAGGGAACACCTTCATCGCGGCAACGGTAGCTGTTCCTTGCTAGCAGCGAAGACAAAGAAAGGCCATGCAGTCTGCGGAATATATACACCTCAACATGTTGGATGCTGATTACATACACCTCTAACCGTCGGCTGTTGTCGGACTGCCCCTTGATTACCATATGCCGGTGGTCTCGCTACCCTGCCATAGTCCAGTGGGTCCGGCCTGACTCGTCAGATTGCTTGCAGAGCAGAGCTGAACCCTCAGCTGAGTCGGTTAGATTGCATCTCCGATGGCGCCGGGAATGGCGCATTCCTATTGGATGGCGCGTGTGAATAAGGGTCCGATAACGTCGTTACATCGAGCGAAGCTTCTTCTTCTCCTGCGGCTGAAGCTTACTGTAGCTTGGCCCCACGGGTAATTCCTCACGTATAGTATAGCATGACTCCAAGGTAATCACCGTTCTCACCTCTACTAAGCCCCATGCTAATTACTCACCTATGCTTAGCCCAAAGAGCAATCTATTCATTCCAAATACTCTGCAGGATTTCGACATGATTGGCCGGTACAATCCCTCAGGTCCCGTGCTGGTGTTCGTTAATCTAATTCCGGATATACCCTCATGCCATCAGGAGATTCTCAAGATAACGTCGGTTCAGCCGTTCGGCCGAAGATGCATTGAATTTCAAATCCGCTGCAATCCGCGCTGGAGGCCTCACATCATCAGTCTTAAAGGGATCCAAGTCCGCCTCTAACATAGCACTGCAGCTGCCCTGCCTAGCACCGAGTTATCTTCTCCAACCATGAGGCCCAGCGTTTTTTTCGGCCTGTGTGCCAATCTTTTCGTTTGTCCCTCCTTGGCCGTCTTGACTTGGACACCGGTTGGCTGTGCCGGAGTCACGGCCAACGGCGTTACCATCGACTCCATCTGGGACAATGCCCTGCTGATGGTTCAGACGGCCCAGACGCGCATTGACAGCATCAGAAACTTCCCTATCAAGGCTAAGTCGACGAGGGCCCGCGTTGCGAACAACGCCCACTACATGTTCGGGATTGATGTCAACTGGTCAACCGGGTTCGCCTCGTCGACGAAAAAAACCCTTTCGGATGTTCGCAGTGAGTCGGCCCAAACAATGCAGGTGCATAGATCTGGTGCGTAACTAATACAGTTGCCTCAACAAGGTATTTACTCTCGAATGGAGAGTAAGATGAACGAGGACACCAACTATCTCCTATGCAATGATAACGGATTCCAGTGGGGCAACATTGGAGGCTGTTCGTACACCCCGTGCACTACCAGATTATGATCTCATGTGAGGCTCTCTGACCATACACCTAGATACTACTGGCGTATGGTACTACGCATTTCCGGGAACAAATGATGCTTTGATCCTTAGATCCACCGCTGGCAATAGCGCGGGTGGTCGGTCGCCCCCTTTCCTGCCTCCGTCCCACCCACCCTAGATCCCATCGTCCCCAAGCAACTCTCATATGATTTTGAAGCAAATGCCGGACCATCCACTAATCAAAACGAATCAAAAGCAAGCCAGCGCCCATGCGGCGAGTCAAATCTTGCCGGCGAGACATTCACGGGCGAATACATGTCATCCACTGCCGGCGGAACCGTGCAGTACACCCAAACCACAGCGATCCTCCTCTGCGTACAAAACCAGTTGATGTACAAACCAACGCTGGAGCTGGGGTTCACTGTCAGCGACAATAAAGGCATAGCAGACGAGTACGAGTCCGTCTCTGGCACCATCGTTCATGAGATGGTCCACGCTCTGAATACCCATATGTGTAAGTTTGGCTCTCCCTAAGCCCTCCAGGGTTTCCAACACCCCTGAACCGGAACAGACGCGGAACCAAAGAGCTCAGCTAACCCTTTGGGGAAAATACGCAGACTGGGACCAGACGCACCCTGATTTCCCCAATGACGGATTACCTGGGTACGGCTTCGACAAATGCATGATTCTAGCGACGAAGTCCCCGCAGCAGGCTCTGGTTAACCCGGACAACTACCGCATCTTTGCGGAGATGTGCATGTCGCCTAAGACTGAATGGCAGCCGGCGGAACCTGCAGGTGCATAGTAGGCTGGACGCTCTGTTGGGCCGCCAGTGGGTTGGAAGTTGGAACTGGGTAAACAGGGCTCTGGCGGTGGAGGGGTTCTCAGAGTACTTGGTAATTAAGACCACGACTTAGTCATTACACTTGACTGCAGTACATAGGACTATACGTTGCGTGATAATACTGGTACTTCCATAGGGAACCCTAGGGCTGGTTAGGGTAGAGTCGACACGTGACCGTGGCCAATGAGACCATTCCAAGTTGCTTCTTCAGTCTTATAAAACCACTCTCGCCCCTCTGATCACTCTTGATCTCGGATCACTCTTGATAAGTTTATCCCCATGGCCGCTACCAAGTCCCTCGCTGTCAACCTCGACCACCCAGAGGCTGCCGCACAGCTGCACAGCCTGGATGCGGGAGTCCAGCTTGACATTTCCTGCACGGAAAACAGCCAGTCTCTCTCGCTTCTCCCCCAGCTGGTCAACAGCAGCAGTGTCTCTTCCATTCATGTCGACGCGACGTACAGGACCGCCGACGCCTGCCGCCGCCTCACCCAACCCCTCAAGCAAGTCCTGCTGTCCTGCCCCAATCTCCGCCGGCTCTCCCTCGACATTTCCCCGCCACGTGCCGGCTGCATGGTTCCTGATATACCATCAGAGTATTGCGGGCTGGGCTTTGCAAACGGCGAGCGACCGCCGGCACTCGAGAGCCTCGAGATCATCGCCTACCCATGGGGCCGTGAGCCGAACAACTCCCCCATCAACTTCCACGCCCTCGGATACCCCGAGAAGGGGGAAGAGCTGGACTACTGGGCGACCACCTTTGAATGGTCTCGTCTTGGACGACTGACTCTGCATGACGCCTCAAGCGGTCTTGCATTCCAGGTCGCGCCCAAGCTCACAACCCTAGAGGAACTCACCTTATCTCAATTCCACGATGCAGACCAGCTACGGTCACTGTTCCTCACCATACCCTCCAGCCTATCGACCGTGACTCTTCCCACCCTAGGACCCAGCATTGACATTGACATCACCATCCTCCTCCCACACGCAGCCACACTCCGCAAGCTGGAAATCCACAGCCCCGAGCATCCGCACCATCCCCGTTTCACCGAGCAAGCCCTCCTCCATCTGCGCGACAGCTTTCCTCAACTAACACACCTAACCATCGACATCGACCGCGCCGGCAAGGAGTGGCCCTCCGCCATCTTCTCCGTCCTCGCCTCTTTCCCCAGCCTCCAAGAGCTAGATTTATGGTTTCCCCTCGGGTGCTCTGATGACCCTTTCCAGCCCTACCTAACCGCCCTCAGCGCCTCACACCTCGCAAGACCCCTCCTCGACCGCTCCACAACCCTGCAATGCATCCATCTCCACTCCGGCTGCCCAGCACAACTAGGCCACGGGTTCCCAACGCAAGACGCACCCTGGGCACGCGAGAACGCAACGAGTTTCATCTGCGCGCGCGCGGGGACAGAGGCTTCGTTAACATGTCCGGATCTCGACGACGAGGCGAATAACGAGCTAAGAAAGGCAATGCAGGATAAAGTCACGAGCGCACCGGCAGCGAGTTTGTCGCGCCTGCTGGGGCAACGGGTCGCGTTTCAGGTTGCGGTTGAGGGGCCGTTGGAGGTGGAGGAGTGGAGGGCGTTGCATCGGGGGGATGAGTGAGTGATTCCACTTCCGCGAAGAGGGAAAGGCGTGAGAAGGTAGAGCTGACGATGGTAGGTCGTGGGTCTTGGGGTTATCTCGGAAGCCGAGGCCTAGGTCGAGATGGAATCAGCTGCTTGGGCGTGTGGTGGCAATGGTGAAGACCTCGAGGCGGAGGTAGAGGGCTTGTTGGACTGGCTGGCGTGTGAATGGAACGGTTGGAGTCGGTTGAACAGGGGGTTAAAGATGGATATGCAGGGCTGCCCCTGCCAGCGGCACATGGGGTAGGTAGTGATAATCAGACGAATGCGTATGAACTACAGATCTGGTGTAACTGTTGATTATCTTGTGCATCCCAAGGTGCCCCAGGGGCCAGAAGCGCCCAGTCTTTGTTCCAGCACTTTAGTATGCTATCGGGCAAAGTTACACTGAGTTGTCGACTTACGCGGCCAACCTCCCATTTGATTAGCCTCAACTCCAGCTGATTTGTCTTCCATTCACAGGGTATCATTTGAGATGGCGGTCAGCAATGATCTCGGAACTCTGGATTCAAAGGATGCAGACACGCACTGCCATGTCTCTTTGTTTTCCATCCACATGCTATTTCATCACTGCGTACAGTGATAACAAGGAACTTATCGATCTACCTTACCCTTGCCACATCCTACGCTTTCCATGTCCATACTTCTTAAAGAGAGGTCAATCCACCAGTCCAACAGCCTCAGTTAGAAACCACAAGCCCTCGCCCAGATGAACTTCCTACTCATCGCCTGCATCCTAGCCCTCCTCCACCTCGTCGCCGGCAGCGTGAGTCCCGTCCCCATCCCCCCCATCTCAGCCTTGGCCGAACTAACATCCATCTGCAGGCTGTCCTCGAAAGAGCCATCACAATCACCGCATACAACCAGCGGAACTGCCAAGGCGACCCGCGACACACCAGCACGTATAAATGGGCACAGGGCATGATCGGTGGCCCGGTCGCAAGCGACGCAGTCCATCGGAGCTTCCGACTGTCGAGGCCCCTGCTGGCGAGAGAGCGTCTTGATCTCGCTGCCATCAAGGACTTGAGGGGGTGGACGGGTTGGAGGGATACTCGGACCTGTGAGAAGGTGGTTCGCAGCTATTTTTCTGTTGAGAGGGTTACGGGGTGTCAGGATGTGGTGCCATTTACTTGCTTTCAGGTTGTCAATGACAAGTGATGTTGGGCGTCTGTCTTTGTTTTCCTGTTTGTTTGTTGGCCTTGGAAGTTAGGTAGGAACTACATAGGGTTGTGTAAGATGGTAGGGCATGGGAGAGCGAAGGTCTCACATGCAGTGCTACTTCTACACTCCAGTGCTATTCCATACCGGATTACTGAATATAGAATATCCCTTTGAACTGGCGAACTATAAATACGCACTGCAGCTGAAACACTGCGAACAAAGAGCCCCGGGCGTCTTCCCTGCCCGGTCCATTGCCCTTGAAAACATAAAGACCCCCCGAGGAACCCCGGGACCTCAACTTCCCGTCGCCTCAACCAACACAGAAAAATAATCCTCATCAAGACAATCTCAGCCTCATCAAAATGAAGTACCTCCTTCCCATCACACCCCTCCTCACCATCCTCCCCTTCGCATCATGCAGCAAACTCGTAAGTCCCCTTCTTCATCCCACTCGCCTCCTCAACCCCCAGCTCCATCCCCGCTGACTCCTACCTACCTATTCTTGCTTCCACAGACCTCAGACATCACCATAACCGTCTACTCCCAGCGCGACTGCACCGGCTCAATCATCCAATACGTCCCCTTCAGAAAGGGCCATGGCGGGGCAACAATCATCGACGACAGTTTCGGGAGCAGTATCCGGGTCTCGCGGCCGCTGCGTGCAGGCGAGCAGCTTGACCTCTCGACCACGCCGTCTATCGAGACGTACGCCGGCCCGAACGATCCGCGCTCCTGCGAGAAGTTCCTGTATGCGTTCTTTGCGCAGCACTCGGGGGATCTGACGCGGTGTTTGAATGTCGAGCCGTTTTTGTGCTTTCGGTTGTGGGCGCATTGAACTTGGTCTGTTTGATCGTGCGGTTGAATACCCAAGGGTGACTGGGTTGATTGGTTTAACGTGGTATTGTGCTTTGGGCGCTGCTGCATACTCTGTGTTGTCTTTGTTTGTCTTCTATCTACATGTCACTTGGTAGTCACTTGACATGGCAGCTGGAAAGGATCTTGGAACTGAAGGGCTCAATCAGGCATAGTTATCTTCTTGTCTTTTATTCAAATGCAAATGCAACTGCTCAACAGAATGCTTATCCAAAGCCCCAAACCACTGAACTGAATTACCAAGCCCAGACGAAATGCCCATGTTTGCACAGGCCTGTAACCTTTGCTTTGTAATGCCCGTCCCTTTGGATGGAGTTTCTGCTGTTATTCAGGGTCTGGGACCGGAAGGCCTTCATTATGTGCCCAGGGTTAGCTGATGGCGGAGGAGGAAAGTTCCTGAATAAAGACATACATCAGGGAGAATTTTGCAAGATAGGACATTGAGACTGTCAATTAATGGATTCCACAGAGCGAGTTGGACGGGCTAGTGCAGGTTAGTCCAGCTTCAAACCGGCCATCCCGTTCATCCATCTTGACTGTTCTTTCCTTCAACCCGATCCGGAGGTGAATGGAACTGCCACCATGATATGGAGTAAAGTTGAATATCGGGCATTTGATGGAGGAAGCGGTATACGCATCTATAGAGCGCCTATTGACAGCCAGCACAGAGGGCAGCAGCCCAAGCTTTTTATTGAACACCAGGAATGCATGAAGGTGGTTCATATATTCTATTCTAAGGGGAGGCTCCTGGACCCCGCGACCTCGGCATGGCTGTGCAAAGCTGCAGAATCTCTTTAAGTAAGCGCGAATGGCCAATACAGGACTATGATGCCATACTGTTGGAGACGCTCGCTTATCTCACGAGCACTCCAACTGCATCGGTGCATTGTCATCCGAATCATTAGGTAACTTGGAGACTAGACCGGATTACAGTCAGGATGACTGCGCATGCATCCCCCTCATCGACCCCTCCTCCCTTAAGCATACCCTAGACATCATCTTCGCATCCCACCACCCAACTCAATCCGACCGCCAACCCAAACCCTCACCACCAAAATGACCTCCCCTCAAAACACAGCAGATCGAGCCACCCCAACTCAAATCCCCGTCTCTACCTCCTGGCTAAGCCCCGGCCCCGCATCCAGCGACTTCCGCAGCGACACAATCACAACCCCCACGCTGCCCATGCTATCCGCAATCGCCCAGACAACGCTTCTCGACGACGTCTACCGCGAAGACCCAACAACCAGCACCTTCGAGTCCTTCATCGCAGCCCTCACCGGCAAGGAGGACGCCCTCCTCGTGCTCTCCGGCACAATGGGCAACCAGATCGCCCTCCGCTCGCTACTGACCCAGCCGCCGCATGCGATCCTCGCGCACGAGCGCGCGCATATCCTTACCTCCGAGGCGGGCGGGTGTGCGGCGCTCTCGCAGGCGCAGATCCAGCCGTGCACGCCCGCAAACGGGCAGTATCTCACGTTGGAAGACATCAAGCGGACGGTCGTGCTTAGCGATAACATCCACGTCGCGCCGACGAGGGTGATATCGCTGGAGAACACGCTTGCGGGGGTGATCACGCCGGTCGGCGAAGTGCAGCGGATTGCGGGGTTTGCGCGCGAGACCGGGATCCGGATGCATCTTGACGGGGCGCGGCTTTGGGAGGCTGTTGCTGCGGGGGCAGGGAGTCTAAGGGAGTATCTGGCGTGCTTTGACACGGCGCAGCTGTGCTTTAGTAAGGGGCTGGGGGCGCCGATGGGGAGTATTATTGTGGGTTCGAAGGACACGCTGCGGCATTGCCGGTGGGTACGGAAGAGCCTTGGGGGTGGGATTCGGCAGGCCGGGGTTGTTTGTGCGGCGGCGAGGGTGGCGGTTGAGGAGAACTTTGGACGCGGGCCTAATGGTGAAGGGGGGAAGCTGGCTGGGACGCATGTGAAGGCAAAGAAGATTAAGGGGATGTGGGTTGAGCGTGGTGGGAAGGTTGCGAGGCCGGTTGAGACGAATATGGTTGTGCTGGATTTGGGGCATGCTGGGGTTTCGGTTGAGGAGGTGATTGCCGTGGGGAAGGAGGAGGGGGTGAAGTTGTCAGGGGGGAGGATTGTGGTCCATTATCAGATTGTCGACGAGGCTGTGGAGAGCCTTGGGAGGGTGTTTGATCGCTTGCTGGCATCAAAGGAGACAGATGTTGTGGCTGATGGATTGCAGTCGTGAGGTGCTCCTGGGAAGTAGGCCGGGGAAGTAGGAGTAGTGATGATTTTTTTTGACTCACCCAGAACTATCACAAACAATGCTTTTCAGAACTCATAACAAAGAACACACAGTGAACAAACATCATCTAGTGCCATTGCACAGCACGCTGATACAGGGCTGGCCGAGGTTGGGCCTTCGGGCGGCCGGCAGAGGGGTTGTAGGGTTTAGGTAGTAGCAGACCAGCGGTATCATGACTCTCCATAGAAGCTAAGGTCTAGTGTTTGCAAAAACACTTGCCATTTGCAACTGCTAAGCCATGATCAGAGATCTTTACGTCATTCTTACAAACGAAAAAAAAGAAAAAAGACAACAGAGACAGTCCAAGACGCGAAACACGTCTCCAACCCACCAAAAAAGCTTGACTTCGCGACGTTGAACGTAGCGACATACCCTGTAGCTGGCCTGCTCCAGCTCCGGTGCTCAGGCTTTCTCCTGGAATTGGATTCAACCCTCCAAGCACCGCGTCACCCTCACCTTAACAAAGTACTCCGCGGTCCGCGGATACGCAATCGCCAGATCCCGTCCGACCTCCAGATTCTCCTCCGTAGTGCCGTCCATCTCCATATTGAACCGGCGGACGATGTGAGCGAGGGTAAGATATAGTTCAAAGTACGCGAGACTACACACGGACACGTTAGCCCCAAAGCCACAATCCAGGTATGATGACACGCTACCTCATCCCAAGACACTGCCTACTCCCCCTCGAAAACGCCAGGAGATACTTATGCAGCGGAAAGCCCTGCTCCTTGGCTCTGATCCAGCGCTCGGGGTCGAACGACTGCGGGGAAGGGAAGATGGACGGGTCCATGTGCGTTAGGTAGGTGGAGATTGCGACCGGTGTCTGGAGGACTCATTTGTTAGCTCGTTTCTTCGCAGATCATACATCATTCGGTTTGAGTGCTGCTCACCCCCGCGGGAATCACCCAGTCGCGGAAGACAAGGGCTTCGTCCGGTGCAATGCGGGCCTGTCGGAAGGTGACGCCGTGCGAGAGGCGGAGGGCTTCGGTGATCACGGCCGTCTGGATCGTTAGTCTATGAGCACAGGATAGCTCCAGCTGGGATGCCTATCGGACTCACCAGGTACGGCAAGCGCTCGAGGTCCGCCCAGGACGGCGTGCTGTTTAGGTCTGGCATGACAGAGTTCACGAGTTCCGTCCGCATGTTTTCCAAGATTGTTGAGTTGCTGAAGATATGGAAGGATGCTAGTGCTAGCGTTCGAGCGGTCGTCACAGTACCGGCGCCCAAGACTGCGAAACCCTCGTCCATAAGCCTAGGAACCGTCCGTTCCGAGGCGGGAATGTGCGGGCTGGACAGGGCGCTGAAGATAGTTTCTTTGCTACTTGCCCCATTCTCCAAAACAGCCGCGGGTGTCCGAGCGAGCGCGTTCTCAGATTGCTGTCTCAGCCCGTTCAATAAAGCCAGCGACTGGGCGTAACTCGGGCGAAGACGCTGCAGAAGCCAGACGGGGATGCAGGACAGAATGCGTCGGAACACAGGGAAGAAGCGGTTGACGTGGAAGGCCATGGTGAGCTCATTCACGCCGGAGAGGATATCGTTTGCTGCGCCGTCCCCGCGCAGATAGCCATAGCTGCTGCCGAAGGCGTAGTACGTGATGATGTCTGCGGTGAGGTCTGAATAGAGACTGTCGAGGCGAAGGGTTTGCTTGTGCGCATGGGCGTGTCTGAACTTTTCACAGAGAAGCTCGACGGATTCCTGGATGAAGGGGCCGAGGGTCTCGAGGGAGCGCCGCGAGAAGAAAGCCTTGAGGTAGCTCTTGCGCTTGCGGTGATGGTTGTGGTCGATTGTTGAGATGACGGAGTGCGGACTCGACAAGGCCGGGGTGAACTGGGGGTCCTTGGTGCGGATGTGCGTGCCGGAGGCGTAGACGACGTCGATGAACTCGGGGTCTTTGATGTGGATTTCGCGGGGGTTGATTCGGACGATGGGGCCTGTGGGTGTTACTCTAGTTAGGGGAGGGATCTTGGTGTTCCTGGTAGGAGGGAGCTTACCATAGAGCTCGTGCATCTTCTCAATCTCCCACATGAACATTCCCCTGCAGATGACGTCGTAGTAGAACTCGTGGAGAGGCGAGCAGACAGCCAGCTTGGGGCCGGGGAATATGCTCAGGGGGTGGAGGTAGATGTTGTAGACAAGGCGGGTGCAGATGTATAACACAAGACAGAGTCCTGCGTGTAGCAGGAGGGTGGTGCTGGTTGCGCTGGTTAGATGAGTAAGGACAGCCATGTGTGCAGATTGTGGTGAAGTTTGGATTCAAGAGGTTTGTGTTTCAAACAGGCTGCAGAAGTAAGAAATGCAAGAACTAAATGTTTACTTGTTAACCGAGATTTGATTTCACTTTGAGTGAATAGTAACACTGGCCAGCTCCAGCACTTCTCCCCCACCACGGTAAATAGCTCACTCCCTCCTTCCCTTCTCTACTCTTGCCATCCTCCTTGCTGTTGCTTTCCCCCTCTGTTCAAATAGCCTTTATTTCAAAATGAATCTTATCCTAGACATTGACCCCTCTGGCATCCACAAGCCAAACCACATCATCCAGCATCCTCTCCCCTGGATCAGCTGTTTCACCCCCCGCCAACACATCCTCGCTGACAAAGTGTGCCAGGAGGATAATGACTTCTTCCTTGTCCATTGGCCATTCAAGTCCGAGAAACAGCGCCAGATGTTCCTGGACATGGACCTCTCGCGCTGGTCTACATCTGCCTGTGCAAATGCCCTGGACTCAAGGATCCAGATCCATGCGCGCTTCAACACCGTCTTGTTCCTAATCGATGGTTTGTTCTCCCTGGATATCCCCCACCATCCGCTCCAGTCAACTGACGCTCGTAGACATGATCGACAAAATGGGAATCGTGCAAGTGAGTCCCATACTCCTTCCGTAGCCCATGTACCCTACCATAAAACCCAGCTCCTAACCTCACCCCAGGGCCAAAAATACATCAACACCCTCATCCACTCCGTCGAAACCAACACAGCCCCCTCCAGCCCCGACACCGCATCCCAAATCCTGGCCACCCTGTTCGCCCAAATCACCCTGGCCGACAAACCCAAAGCATCCGACCTCTGGACCGCCCTCGTCCCCTTCTGGCGCGCCCAGACCGAGTCGCGCCGCGACCGCACCCGCAGTCTGGACGAGTACCTCGCCTGGAGAGTCACTGACATCGGACACTTGTGCGTGCAGCCCCCATCAAACCGCCACCAAAAGAAAAGAAACCCCCTAATTCCATCGCAGCGTCACCGGCGCCCTCGGCCGCTGGGCCATCGACGCCAGCATCCCGCCGCACGAAGAAGCCCTGATCCGCAGCATCGACGCGAATATCGGCGCGCAGGTCGTCCTCGTCAACGACCTGTTCAGCTGGGAGAAGGAGCTGCTGGACGCGGCGAAGATGGATTCTGAAGTCGTGAACGCGGTTGGGCTGGTCATGCGCCTGGAGAACGTGGATGCTGGGGCTGCGCAGAGGATGCTTGCAATCAAGGTCAAGGAGCTGGAGGATAAGCATGTTGAGCTGCTTGATGGGAAGATGGAGAACCTCTCGCGTGACTCGAAGGTTTATGTCCGGTTTCTGGAGAATATGGCGGCTGGGAATGAGTCGTGGAGTCGGGGGACCGCGCGGTATAATGTTGTTGGTGGGCAGCAGGTGAGGCCGGAGGTTGAGAATATTAGCTTTCGGGTGTTTGATTTGGAGGGGGATAAGGGGTGTGATATCTGATGTTTGGTATTCGGCTTTACTTGTTGAGGATGGGGTTTCTCGTTTGTTTCTTGATTGAGATCCAGTGCATGGGTAGAACTAGAGCTTACGCATGTTTGTGCGTGCTTGTTGGATCGTATCTTGGGTTCCCTGAGCTGGACATTGGTAATGGATTATTAACTCAAGTTCTCCTTTTTTTGTATACTTGAGTTTGTATTTCTTTATTCTATACTTCTGTGTCTTTTCCATGTAGGCCTTGCTGTCCTGACAGTGTTCCCACTGGAAGCTCCTGCCTGGTTGCTCATGCCATTGGAGACTGTATGTACCCAAAGCAATGCCGAGTCAAGGAAAATACGGACTCAGTAATAGGAAAGATAGTTATGATCCAGATGCATGAATAGTTCTGTGCTTGAAGACATCTTCAAGTTTTGCACAGGCAACCTTGGTCCTGTACCCTGAATTGCAGGGCTATAAAGGATAGTGCAGTATCACAAGCACTGGAAAATGGACGCAAGCCTCAGTCAAGTCATCCACAGGCACATACTCTCTCTTGCTTCATAGATTATGATTACAGATGGCAAAGATCCATGCGTTTCTTGTTCTCACCCTCAATCCAGACCAGGCATCGCCCCTCCAACCCGAAGTCGCTGCTGCCCTTTGAGCTGCCGGTGCCTTTTTGAAAGCAAGGACGACCCAGGCTCATTTGGATAGTCAGTCTGCAGATGGCTGCCTTCAGTATGTAGTAATGCCAATCCTCAAGCTCCAGTACCTAGGTGCGCTCCATCACGCAATCCCCGGCCTCCCCTCCGCCAAATGATGCGTCCCCAGCTCCACCCCCAGCTCACTCCCCTGCGTCCAAGGCGACGGCCAAACAAACGCCCCATCCGGCCGTACCATGCGCTTGAATTTCCCTTCGTCCACCGTGTTCCGGACCTGGTAGTCGACGATCGCGTCGAGGGCGCGGCACTTGCGGTTGATGCTGAAGTCGGGCCAGGGCTCGCGCAGCCCCTCGACCCAGGCCAGCGTCAGGACCTCCGTGTTGGCGTTGCACCGCAGGTTCTGCAGCAGGATGTCGAGGCAGTGGCCCAGGTGGATCCAGTGCATTTTGTCGCGCGGCGTGTCCGAGATCGTCACCGTGCTGTTGTACCCTGGGTAGCTTGCGTACGCGGCGACGCGGAGCATGTTCAGGCAGTGGATTTGCTGCGCGGGCTTGTTAGCATGGGCAGGGGCGAGGCAGGGCAAGGGGTGGGTCGTAGGGTGAGGGTCAGGGGAAGGAGAGAGAAGAGGGAGCGGGTCGACATGCATGCATCACGTCAAACTGGACCATGTACGCGTCGTCGCCGAGCCCCCAGTATGCGTCGTCGAAGCGCGCCACGGTGTCGGGGTCCTTGCCGAGCTTGAGGATGTCGGCGCGGGTGACGGATGTGGTGAGGATGCGCTCGTACTGGGCCCAGGCGGCGTCGTTGTCGGGGCCGGGCTCCTGGCGCGCGATGGAGGGTTCGGGGAGCGGGAAGAGCGTGCCGTTGAGGGTGGTTTCGTAGGTTGGGATTTCGACGGCGTCGAGGATGGGCGCTGAGGGCCGTGAGCTTGAGCTGGCTTCTACCTATCTTCCTGGGACACGCGACCCGGACTTACACCACCACGAGACTGGTCTGAGGATGGCGTTTTTCTCAGAGCTGCCGCTACCACTGCCAGTACCCTGCAATTTGGCGCTGAGGAAGACGGAGGCCGTGATGCTCATCATCGCGAGGTTTGCGGTTGTTAGGCATATCCAGGTCGTTGAGAGTGCGGGCTTTCTTGCGGGGGTCTTCGTCCTGCGGGAGCTCGATGCCAGGAGGCCTTCTGAGTCAGTGCAGTTGTTGTCGTCGTCGTCGTCGGCGGTCGAGGTCTCAGTTTTGATGGTTTGGAATCTGTGTGTTTGTCTGGGGGACGGCCAGAGGGCTGTGAGGAACGTGGACTTCTCCATGATCGACCTTGACCGTGTCATGCAGAAGAATATGCCAGGCTAATTGCCCAGTGCAAGTTAGCCGACCATAGTTATCAGATGGGCAGCTCCGGGGGCCTTTTCTGGAACTTTCAATCATTACATGTGAACATTCACATGAATTCTCACCAGATAATCATCCGGCCTGCCTCCCATGTGAGCCCTAAAAGAGACTCGGCCGTAGGGGTACTGCGCCCGTAGTATTTTGCTGCTATACCTGTCCGACTTAATAGGTAAGACAGAGTGCCAGAGGTGTAACAGCGTCCGCAATATTTCTATACCCAGCGCCTACCACCAGGGCTGTATTTATAACCCCACTCTTTGCCCCAATCTTGACTCCTCTTCATCCAAACGTACCTAACTACCCCATCAATCACCATCCCATCCTCGAACAAAGCAGCCACCAACCGCAAAATGCAGCTCTCCCACCTCTTGGCTCTTGTTGGCGCCGCCGCACTCGCCGCGGGCCACCCCATATCCACCAACAACAACAACAACAGCGAGCACAGAGCGGACGCGGCCAACACCGCCGTCCTCCCCATCAATGCGCGCCCATCTCATGGCGTGGGTAGAGACACACCCGCAGGTGCCGAGAGCGAGGGATCCCAGAAACGCGCTTTCTACTACACCAACTACGCGACTGCAAGCCAGAACAGACCTGGCGCGGTCAACACCGCCGTCCTCCCCATCAATGCACCCCCATCTCAGGGCGTGGATAGAGAGACATCCGCAGGTGCCGAGAGCGAGGGCGCCCGGAAACGCGCTTTCTACTACACCAACTACGCGACTCCGAGCCAGACCGCGGACGGCGAGGGAGACGGCCAGCCCCTGGCCAACGCCGAGAGAGAAAAGCTCGCACAACCCCTCTACTTCTACGCCGGCTATGCGACTCCAACCCCGACCGTGGACGGCGAGGGAGACGGAAACCCCGAGCGCAAGCTCAAGGCGGCCCCCGAGAAACGCCAATTCAGCTACTCCTACAACGGCATCCCGGCGCCTGCACGCCAAACCGTTAACTAGGAGGACGGCCAGGCCCTCGACCAGCTGGGGAACTGGACTGGAGCATACCATCCATGGATAGCACCAGGGCTCGTTGGGGCTGTAGGTGCGGCCGGCACGCAATTCAACTCAGGACATAAAGGTTATTGTACTGCGGAATGGTACGGTAGTTATCCAACATAATGTCAGCCAATGGTGGAGATCGCTTAGTTTAATGAGAAAGCGCTGCAGCGCTTTAACAGCGCTTAGGCGCCTTAAATAGTCTTAATTAAAATACTATAACACCTATTACTCAATTACTTGCCTGTATAATTATAATATTTACAGTTTTTTAAATATTATAAAGTGTTAATAAAAGTATTTAAAATTTTTATTATTTTTAAAAGCTTAAATTATTTATATAAACCTTAGTTAGCTTTAGCTTTTAAATATTATTATATTTTTTATTTAATTTTTTAATATTTATTTAATTAATAGTTTTTTTTATATAATATTTAAAGGGCCTTATAGTTATAAGCCTGGAAAATTATTTAATAATTTAGTTTATTAAATTCTTACCTTTTTTAAACTTTTTAAAACTATTTATATTTTTTAAGTACCAGCCCTTTATTATATAAARGCCTTTTATAATTAATTATTTTTTATATTTATACTTAAAAAGTTAAATATTAATTAAACTTTAACTTTTATACTTAATTTAAAAATTATTATAAGCTTTACTACTAGCACCTTAAATATAATAATTTTTAAAGTTTAAAAAAAACTAGCTGGTATAATATAACTATATTTTATATATTATAATTATTATAAGAGTTTAAAAGTATTTTAATTTAAAAGTAATTTATTAAACTTTTTTTTTAAGCTTTTTTAACTCCCTAAAAATAATATTGATAAAAAGGTATTTAAAATATTTAATTAAAAATAAAACCACGCTAAGCATATTTTTTTAAAAATTTAAAATATTAATAATATTATATAAAAGTTAATTACACTTTTTATTTAGTAACTTATTAAAAATAAGCTTATTATAAAAAATTTTATTAAATTAAAGTAATAACTTACTCCTACTAATTTTAAAATTAAACTTAAGGCTTTTAATAATTATATTACTATTTTTATTATATTAATTTAATAAAAAAAAGTTACCTAGTAACTTTAAAATTATAAGCATGCTTATTAAAAAATCTTATATTTTAAGTAACCTAAGGCTAATAATAAAATAATTAATATAATATTTTAAAGGCTATTAATAAATACTTAATAGCCTATACAAAGCGCCATATAAATTAATTAAATTATAAAAAATTTAGTAAAACTAATTATTTTATTTTTATTTTTAAGTTTTAATAATATTTTTTATTACTAATAGCTTTGCTAAAACCTTTATAGGAGAAATAGCCTTTATAATACTTACTAAAAAATTAAATTAGCCCTTTACTAGTAATTTAAATATTAAAAGTTTTTTTTATTAATAAACCTTCCTGGGCACTAACTAATAATAAACTAATTTATTTTTATAAATATAAGCATGTTATAAAGTTTTATTATAACTTTATATATTTATACTATTTAAAGTCCTATAAAATAAATAAAGGCCTAAAAAAAATTAATAAAATATTTAAAAAAAAATAAATATAGCAAGAAGCTTAAAAAGTTAAAGGTTAAGAATACTAAGCTTTTTAAAAATAAAAAAAAAAATACTAAAAATTAAAAAGCTTAATAAAATAGCTAGGAAAACGCGTAGTTTATAGTTTTTAAAAAATATTATAAAATAACCTTAATATTTAATATTTTAAGTAATTTAAAACTTTAAAATACTTTTATTTTTAATACTAGTGCTTTTATTTATATTTATAATAATTTTAGCTATTTTACCTTTTTAAATTACTTTTAAGGTAGTAATATTTAAGCTAGAAATATAATTATAGCTATATAAAGTTATAAATTAGTTTTTATTTATTTAAAAGTATTTAATAAAAAAATTATACTATTTATATTATATAAAGTTATATATATTTTTAAATTTTATTTTAATATTATAATAATAAGGCCTTTTTAAAAAGCTAAATATACCTAGAATTTTAATACCCTTATACTTAAGAATAATAAACTAGTTTTTTATTTTAAAAATTATTTTTTAAGCCTTTAAATAATAAAGCTAAAAAAAGTTTTTTAAAGTTAAAAGAGGCCAACGCTCTAACTTAATAAAAAGTTAAAATTTTTACTTAAAAAGTATAGTTTTAAAAAATTTTTAAAGCTTTTTACTAATGCCTAAAATATATTAATAATAAAGTACTTAAATATTTTTTTATAATAATATAAAAAGTTAATATTTTTAATTTTTAATTACCTAAGTACTATAATACTTGCTAAATTAATTAGGCTTTTTAATAAATATTTAAATAGTTTAAAAAACTAGTTACTAAGTTATTTATTTATATTTATATTAATTTTATTTTTATAAAGCTAGTAATAAATAAAAATTAATAAATAACTTACTTTTATAATAAATACTTTAAAATATACTAGGCCTATACTTACTAACTTAAAAGTAATTATAAAAATATTATTAAGTAATTTATATAACTTATATAAAATTATTATAAAGTTACTTTTAAATTTTTATTTAGTAATAATAAACTTATTTTTAATAATAATATTCCTAACTTTACTACCTTTAAAGGTATTTTTTAAAACTAGTTTACTTTATACTTTTTATTTTAAAATAATATAGCTAAGCGCTTTAAAAATATTTTAATTTAAAAAGTTAAAATAATAGCTTTATATAAAAATATTTTACTTAATATATAGCCTTAGGTTATAAAAGTAATAGCTTATATTAATAATTAAATTTTTATTAAAATTATTAATTAAATAACTTTATAAAAAAGACTTATTAGTAAAAAGCCTTATATTTTAAATATTTAAATTATTAGGTATTTCTCCTAGGCAAGAAAATCTTAAAAAAAAGGCCTTTATAAAATAAAGCTAAGGGCCTTACTTAAATATTTTATAAATTATTAAGCCTTAAATATTTAGTAAATTTAGTTTTTTTAAAATTAGTGTGTTAAAGCTTATAAAAATATTATTTTTAATAAATTCTGGCTTTATAATTTATAAAAACTATTTTTTATTATTAATATTTAAATTAATTTTTTTAAATTATTAGTTAAGGTTTTTAAACCGCCCTCTTGCTACTATATTACTAAAAATATAAATTTAAATTTAAACTTTACTAAATTTTAAAAAAAAAAATAAGGGTATTTTAATAACAAGTAAGCTAAAAATAATAAAAATATTTAAAAATAAAAATATTAAAAAAAAATAAAAATAAAAAAAAATTTAAGTATAAAATTATACCTAGGCCTAATTTTAGTAAAACTAAGGCCTTTAATTTATTAAAGGGCTTTTTACCTTTTTTTATTTTAAACCTTATTTTAAAACCTTAATATTATAAAATTTTTATATAAAAATTAATATTAATTAATTTTTTTAATAAGCTATTATAACCTTTATAATAAGTTACATGCTTTTAAACTTAAAAAAATTTATTTTTAAACCTAGCTAATTAATAATTATTATATAAAGTAAAGTAAGCCTACTCCTAAATTTCTATTTATTTTATTATTAAAAATATAAAAAAAGATAAAAAACTAAAAATTAAACTTATTATTTTTCCTAAATAATTAATTAAATAAAGGCCAGCACCTTAAAGTAATTAAAAAAACTTTAAATTTTATTTAAGTACTTTAATAAGCTATACAAGCTATATTATTATTATAATTATTTTTAATTTTATTTTTTATAATTATATATAATTTACCTTTTTTACTTTTTATTAAAACCTTAAAAAAATACTTTTATTAAAATAAATTACTACCTTTTTCCAAGTATTAAAAAAATTTAAAAAATTATTTATTTAAAAATATATTTTTTTAAAACTATTAATTTTAAATTAAATAAACTTAAAAAAATAGAAGTATAAAAGGTAGTTAATAAATAAAAAATAAGTTTAAATAAACTAATCCCCTTATTATAAGTATTTATATATAAGTTTAATATAAATAGCTACTTTTTTAAGGCTAAAGCTTAAATTTATATATATATAAATTTTAAACTAGTTAATTATAAAAATAATTAAGTAGCTATAACCTTTACCTATTTTTTTTAAATTATTATAATACTTATTATTTTTTTAATATAAATATAAGGTAATATAATATTATTAATACCTTTTTTAATACAGGCCTTAATAAACTTCTATACCTTTAATTTTTAAATAACTATAAGTAAAAAAAAAGCTTTTAAAAGCTTTTAAAGCTATTTATAATTTTAAAAAGTTTTTTTATTTTTAATAACTTAATTTAACTACTATTTTTTATAAATTTAGCTTTATTATAATTTTTTAAAAAAAATACCTTTTTATTAATAAGCTAATAATTCTTTTAATATATATAAATAATTTTATTTTTATAAACTTTTTTATTAAGTAAGGCCGCTTTATAGTAATTACTTTTAAAAAAAAACTTTTAGTAAAGTATAAGCTTTGGTATTTTAATAAAGCTAAATAATTTTTTAAAAATTTAATTTTTTTTAAAATAGGCCTTAGCGCAAGCTTTAGCTTTTTTAAAATTTTTATATTAAAGTTATTATAAATTAATTTTATTTAAATACTATAATTTAGCTACCTTTTACCCTGCTTTTATTACCTAGTAAGCTTTATTTAAATTTTAATATAGTTATTTTTAAAAATATTAAAAAAGTAAGGTTAAAAATTAAATTTATTAAATATACTAATACCCTTACTTATTTAAATATTTTTTATATAATAAGCCACTTATTAAAATATTTTATTAATTTTATAAATTATTATTAACACGTAATAAATTAATTTATTTTTTATTTTTATAATATATATTTTCTTGCTTTTAAATACTTTAGTTTAAATAATTTTAAAAATAAGGTTTTTATTAAGGGATGCAAGATTTATAAGTTATACTTTAATATAATATTTATAAATTACTTTAATTAATTTTTTAGCATAGGTTATATTTATAAGTTATATAAGGGTTAAATTAAATAAAAGGTTATAAAATAATATTTAGTTACTACCTTTATTATTAAAGCTAAATTACTTACTTTTACTAAGGCCTTTAAAGTAACTTATTAATAATAAAAAGTTTTTAAAGCTATATAATTTAATTTTAATATTAATTTTTAATTTAATATAATAATAAATAAATAATTAATATTTTTATTAATATTAATATATAATTTTACTTAAAGCTTTATTATATTAATATTTATAATTTATAGCTTAGATAAAAAGTTTAATATAAAAACTTTTATATTAAATAAACCCTTATTAATTAAATAATTATAAATAGCCTTATAAAGGCGCTTATTAAATAATAATATTAAAAATTTCTTAAAATACTAGGTTTAATAAATATTTTTAACCTTATTTTTAATTAATTTAAAAGTAAGTAGGTGTTAAGGGGGTATATTAACTAATAATAAAAATTATTTAATTTAATAAAAAAGTACTATAACACTTTAATAATACTTAAGTATTTTAAATAATTTTAATTAAAATATTATAATACTTACTATTAAATTACTTGCTTGTATAACTATAATATTTATAATTTTTTAAATATTATAAAGTATTAATAAAAGTATTTAAAATTTTTATTATTTTTAAAAGTTTAAATTATTTATATAAACCCTAGTTAGCTCTAGCTTTTAAATATTATTATGTTTCTTATTTAATTCTTTAGTATTTATTTAATTAACAGCTTTCCTTTGCACGGTATTCAAAGGGCCTTATACATAACTAGCTCACTCAATGGATCCTTAGCCATGTCCACACCATGGCCTTTGACTTCGATCGATCTGTATGATTGCCTTGACTTGTGCTCTTCGTTGTATGCTGTGGGTTGGTTTGTAGGTCCTGCATTCGTGAGTCGTATCCGTGGTCGGTACTCTTCATCCACATCCTCGATGGTCTAACGGTCATGATTTCCGCTTGTCACTTCTCGCAAGAACAAGCGCGGGAGACCTGGGTTCGACTCCCAGTCGGGGAGATTGCCTTTTCCTTTTTCTTTTTCTTTTTGCAGGTTGTGGGTATCTCTTGGTGGGTCATAGGGCTCCAGCCTTGGGACCCTAATAGCAACGGGGAAAGGGACCGTACGCAACGAACATGGCCCAAGCAAAGGTTTCGTTAAAGGGAGCAGAAGAAGACAGAATGTCCCGTTTCCCACTGGTTCGACAATCGAATCACCGTTCAGCACGCCATTACTCGACTGGGACTTCCCTTGTAGCACACGCAGCCGCCCTTTGCCCTTGCCAATCATGCTGGCCTGTCTTCGGTGGTGGTTGCGAGATCACGGCCTTGGTTATATCCCGGGCATCATGCTAGGCGCTAGACAGATATGAAAGTCTTCTCTTCTTTAGCAACCTCTTCGCCAATAATGCCCTTCTCATGCAGCTCATCAAACCATTCGCAAGGCTATCCTGGTCATTTACCTCCACGGCTTTTATGCCATATCCAGATATAACATCCATGATCAAGCTCTTTTCTCCCGTGGCTCTTCCAGCAGTCTATCGGCCACGGACGCTTCGTTGCCTGCCTTTATGGCTTGTTGCACGTATTTGGAGGATCGCAGTGGGTGGGGAAAGACCCAGTCGGCTGGTAAGGGGCCATAGTCGTCTGCAGCACCAGGCCCCCTGTGCTTCTCGTGATGTCCGGGCATTGGACTCGATCGCTCACAGTGCGTCCTTCCCTTGGGAAACTATTTCCATCCAGACCGCGGTTGTAATTGGGACGGGCTGCATATTGCTTATTGGGGCATAACCAACTCCAGATAATCCAGGATGGCAAATTAAGGCTACAGGAGTCTTTTCTTCCTAAATAGGTTAATATTCGCGAGTATTATTTCTTGAACTGATACAGAGAGGCCCACGCTGTGTTATGTTAAGAGGACTGCTCGCCCGTCATCTGAGCTTGATCCAGCTCTTAGGTACTCTACACTGGATCTACGGTAGGTCGCACAGCTTCCCTAGGATGTTGGGGGCTTGGTAGTCCCCAGAACAGCCTGCCTGTTCGTCTAGACAGAACCCTATTGCCTGATTCTTATGCAGTGTAACTAGAAGGGATAATCTCCGCTTTCTCCGATATCTCACGCATCCGGGCGATTGGATCCATGGCTAGATTGCCATACTTCGGAACCCTAACACCCTGCCATTCTCTTTGAAGTTGATTTCTTGGGGTGTGGATGTGACGCGAGAGTGAGTGTCATGGCTACGGTTTGGTCCGTGGGCCTCTGAGCCAGGTGTGGTCCCTCACAGAAGCACCTACCTAGGGGAACCATGAAGGTACCCAAGAAAGAGTTGTGCCGCGGTTGGTGTTCCAGCAAGCTACGACATAGCTATGCTAGATGTTCTTTGATTTATCTCATACACGATGTCCTGTGAGCTCCCAACTTATCAATCAGATATTGGCGATTGATCTACAACACCATGCTATTCGCTGTCATGTGAACACGCTGTCTCATGCATTGCAAGGATATGCTGGAAGCAAGTACAAGAAATACGATCAATTGTAATGTAATACTAGGCTATCCTAGCTTCATCTACCAGTGAGGTCCGCTGAAAATGAAAGATTAGCATATATCCATGGATACCCAGGTTATCCCATCCACACTCCGATCCTCTGTTGACCCATGTGAAACAATGCCCAAATTCTGGCTGCATACACTATTCTGCATTGGTATCCAATTTCAAACGCGTTGACAGGTATAAATTTTCAGCGTTATCGCTTGCCCGGACACGTTCTCCTCTTCGACATCGAGAGTATTCCGTCGACACGCCCAACTCCCTCCCTTCTCAAGCTCAGCGTCAGAAAAGCCAGACCAAAGCCGAAATGTCCCTCCACCCAGAAGCATATCTTTCTATATTGAACGTTCTCGGGGTTGCCGCCGTCATCATTGGTTTGCTCCTCCTTGGAAGACCCAGAAGGACGAACCCTTTTCCAGTGGTGAACAGAACGATGCCGTTTGATATTCTCTCTCTGCACTCCAAGTGGCAGTTCTGGACGAATGCTCGAGGCCTGATTAGAAATGGGTTGAAAGAGGTAGAGTAACGTTCCTGTTGCCCAGAAAAGCATGGACATTGCCTGTAATCCCGAGAACGACACGAACCCTAACCTAACCTACCAGGCTGACGCGCTTTGCATGATCACGAGCCTCGGCGAGAAAGTCGTCCTCGCTCCCAAATATGCCTCGGAGCTCAGGAGCCACCCGTCCTTGAGCCTGAGGGCTGTGATCTTCGAGGAGATGCAGTCAGGCATCCGGGGATTCGAGCCGTTCGCGTCCCAGGCTACGTGGGATGTCGTGATGGATGCAATTCGAACAAGGCTCACCAAGAACTTAGGTACGGGTTGTAACATCCGGATCCGGAGTCCGCTACCATATATCAGGCAGCTAACACTCTGATCTATTTCAAGGAACCATTGCAAAGCCGTTGTCCGAGGAAACGGCACAGGCACTCGAGGCCAACTGGACGAATGATACCGGTGAGTGACCCCGACGTCCCCGGGCCGCGGAATGGAACCAGTTCAGAGACTCAGCGATACTTCTACACCAGAGTGGCATACCCTCCCCCTCGGACCGACCGTAGTCAACATCGTTGCTCGAATGTCCGCCCGAGCCCTCCTGGGCGAACATCTCGCGCACAACGAGGCCTGGGTCCGGTTATCCATCAACTACACCAGAGACTCCTTCATAGCAGCGACCATCCTGCAGCACGTTCCCCGAGTCTTACGCCCCCCCCTCGCAGCCCTGCTCCCCGCCTGCCGGAAACTCCGGCACCAGCTCGCCAACGCAGGCAAGATCATCCGTCCGCTGGCGCAGGAACAGCGCAGCCAGACAACGGGAAAGGGGAGAAGGCCCAGCGATAGTCTCACATGGATGGACGAAGTCGCCAAGGGCCGCGCCTACAACCCGGTGCATGGGCAACTGATCCTCGCCTGGGCAGCGGTGCACACATCGTCCGATTCGCTCTCGCAGGTCCTGCTCGATCTCAGCGGTCGCGAGGAGCTTATCCAGGCGCTGCGTGACGAGATCGCCGCCGCCCTCGCGCGGAACAACAATACCTGGGACTCGGCGCTTCTGGCGGACTTGGTTCTCATGGATAGTGTGTTGAAGGAGAGCCAGAGGCTGAAGCCGTTGTTGGTCGGTGAGCCTACCCTACCCATACCATACCCATCTCACCTGCCTACTCCCCGTCTGCTCTGTTCCCGGGGCTGTTCATTGATGCACCAGCAGCACACATGAACCGCACCGCGCTAGACGACATCGTCCTTTCCGACGGCACCGTGCTGGAAAAGGGGACAACGCTCTGCGTCTCCAACGAGGCAATGTGGGACGGCAACACGTATCCCGCGCCACACACGTTCGACGCGTACCGATTCGTGCGCCTGCGCCTGCGACGCCAGAGCGAGAGCCAGAGCGAGAGCCAGGATGCGAGTGCGACTTCGACGTCGGCGCAGTTTGTCTCTCCATCGCCCGAACACATGGGCTTCGTATTCGGAAACCAGGCGTGCCCCGGGCGGTTCTTCGCGGCCGCCGTGCTCAAGGTTGCTCTGTGCCACATCTTGCTCAAGTACGATCTTGCTCTGGTTCCGTCGCGGGCGGCCACGGCCAGGCTGGCTGAGCCTCGGGGATGGGGGCTAGGGATGAGTCTACCGGTTGATCCTAGGGCGTGCATTGCGGTCAGACGGCGGAAGGGGGAGGGGGGAGAAATCTGATAAGTGCGAGTCTGGAATGCATATGTTGTGCAACGTTAGGTATGGCGATCAATCCCGACGCCGCGGATGGAGGATAAACCAACCTTGGAAGCGATAGGGGGGCGTGATTAAGTTGAACATTTCACAGGGTGTCGCATACCAGGGGTATCTTATTCCTGCATGGCAGTTCATCATCATGGAGGGGCGCTTTGAGCGAATGTCATTTCATGTTGCTTCTTATGATCACATGTAATCCCACCTACGTCTACGTCTCCAGGCATGGGTCTCATGAGCTTCGCCATGGGTACCCTACTCTCAGACACTCGCCCGTGCTGCTACTTCCCAATCAAGGATTACCCTAGTAGCGTGGGATTTCAAGCAAGGACTCCAGGCAGTCTTCTAGTATGCCACACGACCAAAAGGCGTTATACGGGATCTCTAGGGCCTTGTTGACTGGAATTATAAGGTTTACCAGTCCCCATCCTGGATACAGATGGCCCTTGTCGAAGAGAGTTAGGGCTAGCTGATGTTTTACACAAGACATGAGGTATGGAGGGCCCGCTTCACGATATATCCTAGATGACCAATAGGACGGTCCACAGCGTCGACATTACAAACTGCTTCAAAGACCTGAGGTTGTTGACTGGCTGGACCATATTGGGTTGGATCTGGTGGATTATGTCGGGTAGGCCAGGAATACGGGCAGTGACTATATCTTCTATAGTAACAGCAAAGCGAGTCTTATTCGTCCAGTGTGTCAGAGCAATTAGCATGCCAAACGTGAACCTCTTGGACGCCAATCAGCTATTCATCCTCTGGAAATGGGCATGATAACCAATCCCCCTGCTCGATAACCTCTTCCGGGCGGTTGATCATGCGCTCCCACGGTGCCACCTTCTCTCTCTCATTCAGCACAGTCCATTCATTATAGTAGCGCAAGGGGGGCCCATATGCAAAGAAGCATCCCACTGGCCGTACGTGGCCATCCACAACATGAAACTTCTCGTGCATCGCCCGCCACTCTTTGCTCCATTTGCTCTCGTCGCCCCATGGGAGCTCATCCCAGATTTCTGGATGGTACAGCCCGTCTCCATGGTACTCGAACTTGGGGCAGATGGGAACGCCCCCGAACGGGTTCCCGACCGCGGAATTAGCCCACCATTCGAAGACACTGCGTAAGTCGCGGTCGATCCAAACTTCCGCAAACAGTGACAAGTCCCTGTCCTCCTCGCCAAGCCTCCGGAGTTCCTCGATCAGCAATGTCCCTGGGTAGTTGTTGTCATAAGGGTCAGCGTGACGAGCTTCAGCACTGAGGAAAACCATGCGCACGTCTAGGGCTGGTTAGAGATTGCTTTGGCCATGGGTAGGTAGAGCTCAGGTACGTACGGATGTGCTTCCGCCACCGGAAGTATTCCCTCCACGGGGAGCTCAAGATGCGAATGGCCTTGGTGAGGTAGTCGCGCTGCGTCTCCGTCGTCCCCCACCACGCCGTGTCTTTCGGCCTGCTATCCCACCACCTCGCCTCGATACGCTCCCAAGGATTTTTGTCCACCGGGGCGACCTTGTACACACTAAACCACATGCCACCGACAAGCTTGTCGTCCTCGTGCGTGTCGAGCACCTTGAGGAACCGCAGTTCCTCGTTGGACGCAATCCACTGGCGGTGGATCTTCATCAGGTTGTCGGTGGCCCGTTGGACGTCGGCGGGGTCGTTCTCGTCATTGACAAAGTAAAAGAACTGGAAGGCCGAGCGCTTGAGATCGCCCGTGAAAGACTCCTTTTCGCACTCGACGATCGTGCGGAGCTCATCGTCACTGATCTCCTCGGTGTGCGGGTCGACCTGCACGAGCTTATAGCGGCCTTTGGGGTCGCCCATTGCGACGATGAGGGAGAGATGGAGATGATTGAGGAAGTGGGTGACTGGGAAATGGCCGTAGCTACATTTATACTGATGGAGGGCTCGGACCCGCAGTTTCCCAGCTGCCACACGAACTGCCATGCAGGACGCAGCCAGCCACCGACCCCCACCTGCTGCTTAGGGGCTTGTGCAGCGTTGGTGCAAATTTTCAGGCAGCGCTTCAAGATGTGGCGGGGCTGAGGGAGCTGTTGATGCTGTTGCGGCAATTTGGGCCGAGCAGAATCCACACAGTTGATTGGTTGGGACATAAACCAGTCAACCATGCAGTTCAAGGAGGTGGAATAGTGCGAGTATAGTCCTAACCCTAGGTAGAGCGGTCAACCCATTACCAAGATCCCACCCACTAGTAAGACGTATATTTAAAACTTTATTTTTAATTGCACTTTATTAATATATTAACTTTAATAATATATAACTCCCTTAATTTTTTATAAAAATATTTAGTAAGTAGTTATTTAAAATTAGTAAATAAAAATTTAATAAAATATTTAAAAAGTTTATTTAAATAAGGGCTATAAGTTACTAGTAATATTATTTAATTTACTTATATTAAATTTTTAATTATTCTTACCTAGCCCTGGTTAGTTAAATAGCTTTAAAATACTTAAAATTAAAAATAATAAGCTGCTTAATAAAATTAAAGCTATTAAAATAAATACTTTATAAAAAAAGCCTATTAAATTTTATAAAAAAACCTTATTAAGCACCCGTAGGATAAGCTAATATTACTTATAATTATTTAAATAAAAAAAAATTAAAAAATATAGTAAAAAGTAGCAGCTAAGTATAAATTATTTTTAAAAATTTTTTAATATTATATAAATAGTTATTAAATATATTAGGCTGCTTATACTTTAAAGTAAAAATTATTTTTAATTAAAAAAGTATTTCTTAGGCGCTATATATTATATTAAATTAAATTTAATTTTTTTTTTAATATTAAAATACTATAAGATACTATAAATATTTTATATAAGTAAAAATATTAGTAGTTAAATTATTTATATAAGCTAGTTAATATAAACTAATACTAGGCCTTTTTATAAAAAAATAAAAAATTTATAGTTATATAAAGTAAAAAGCTTAAATATAAATACTAGTATTAAGCTAATTTTTAAATTTTTAAGTATTTTTTAAAGCTATTTAAATATGTTAAAAAAAATATAAGGTTAACTTTTAAAATATTTAAAACTTTAATAAAAAAGGCTTTATATATAAAATTCCGCGCGATTATTAGCATGTTATTTTTTTTATATAGCTTATAAAAAACTATAAAGGATTTACTATAATTAAATTTTAAAATAATAACTAAATATTTATTATAAAGTATTACGGGCTATTTAGCTAGTATTTATTTTTAATAATTATTTTTAAAAATAAGAAAGTTAATTTAAACTAGCTAATAGTATTTACTTTAAATAAAAAGGTACTTTTTATAATTTAAAATAAAAATATAATATTATAAAGCTAGTGCTTAACTAGCTAGATAATATTTTTATTTTATAAATTTTTTATATTATTTATACTTAATATAATAAGCATGTTAAATCTTTTTTTTATATCTTATTATATAATAATTATATATTTTATATTAGCTTTAAATTTATATTAACTTACTAGAATTATAATATTATTCTTGTTTATTTACCTTTTTATATTACTTATTTTTTTAGCTAATAAATATTAAAATATTTAGCCCTTTAGCTACTTAGTATAATTAAAAAATATATTAAAAATTATAAATTAATTAGTATAATATTACTTAATAAAAAATTTTTAAGATTTTTTAACAAGCCCGGGCTAAAGCTATATTTATAAATAATATTAAATTTACTTTTAAGGCCGCGGGGATTTAGCTTATTTACTTAAAAATTATATATAAAAAAGCTAGAATTAAAAAGCTAAAAAAGCAAAAGTTACTTATAATAAAAATTATAAATTTTATTAATTTTATAACTAAATTTTTAAAATAAAAAAAACCTTTAAAAAGTAAAAATAATATATTATACTAGCTTAGTATATTACTTACTAATTTTTTTAATACTTAAAATTATTTAATAAAAAAAATAGTAGTTACCTAGGCCTCCGCGTGTTATAATTTTTTTTTTTATAATTATAGCTAGTAACTTTAAAATAGCTTTTAATATTAAAAAAAGCTTAGCAAAAAAAAAATTAAGTAATATAAATTTTTATAACTTAATAAGGTTATTAAGCATGCTAATATTAAAAAGGCTTAAATAAAGTATAAAAAAATAAAGTAAAAAAAGGCCGCCGCCGCGCTCAAGTAAGCTAAAAAAAAAAATATAAAAAGGCTAAAATACTTAAGAAAAAAAAGAAAAAAAGGCATAAAATAAAGGTAAAAAAATAACGCTATTTAAAAAAAATTATTAATAAAAAGGCTAAAAAAAAGCGCCTTAATAAGCTTGCTAAAAATAAAAAAAGGTATCTTAAAAAAATTATTAAAAATAAGGCTAAGTAAAAAAGGGCTATAAAAATAATAGCTAAATATAAGGCTAAATAAAAGGCTAAATAAAAGGCTAAATTTTTTAAGTAATTTATTAAAAAAGCCTGGCTTTTAAAAGCTTTATTTATTTTTTTATTATTTTTTATTTTTATTACGCCTTTAATACCTTTATAAAGTTAAATATCTAGGCCTTTTTTACCTTTATTTTTAATATTATAAATTAGCTATATAAACTTAACTTTTATAAGCTAAATATTTTTAACTTTAGCTATTAAAACACCTAGTTACCCTAGCTATTATAAATATAATAATTTATTAATTAAATATAAGTTCCTAAATTTTTAATTAAATAATAACTTTAAAAGTTTTATAAATCCCCTTTAGTTTTATATAAAATATTATAAAGGCTTTTTATAAAGCCTTAATATATTTATTTATAGTAGCTTTAGGCTTTATAAAATATTTTTATTTAATTAATATTAAAATTTACTAAATAATATAAACCTATAGTTAATTAAAATTAAAAATTTAACTAAAACTAGCTAAAAAAACTACTTTAATAAAATTTTTAATAATCCCGCCATGTAATTAATTTAAATAAAAAAAATATATTATTTAATAAAAAAAATTTATAGTTATTTAATATAGCCTAAATTATTATAATATTATTAAGTTTATGTTATTAATATATAAATTTAGTAAATATTAATTTTAATATTATCTTAAAAATAAAGTTTTTACTAGTGGGTGGGATCTTAGTAATGGGTTGACCGCTCTACGCGGACAAGTATTCCTACCTAAGCCCCGTCCTCGCTCTTAGAACTCGAGGTTGAGTGAGTTAGGGCTAGCAGGAGTTGTCCATGCCTGGACCACTCATTCCACACACTGCAGAGCATCAAAAAGAGCAGCAAGCACCTACAACAGCTGCGCCGATTGAGGCCCAGTGTGACCATTGGCTGTCGTTGCCCCCTCCTTGGGTCCTTCTATCATGCATAAAAACATCGACTGTTCCTCGATCCTTTGTATCATCAGCGCCACCAAATGCACAATGCACCATTGAATGGCCGTCTCTGCAAGACATCTTCAAAAAGAAGGAATCCCGCAAACAGCCGAGCAATATTCCGACCGGTCGGGGGGGAGTGGCAATGTCTGAATGATTCCCGCCTTGCATTCTTGGTCCCCGTCCGGGTGATATCTATATATTTATACCTACCAATTATTAGATCAGGGTCTACATACAACCCCAGTCCCAGGACTCTGCTGCCTCCATGCACGGCATCAGCTGCGGCGCTAACGGGTGGGCGCTCGAGCCCTACCCTACCCTACCTAGTACAGGACGACAGGCCTGATTCCTCCAGCTGCAGCCTCTCGCGCGCTTGGCATGGCCCGAGCGACTGGTTGGGCGCGAGGGTGTCCCTTGTTACGTCCAAATGCTGTTGGGAATTGGGATGGTACCGTCCCTATCGTCGCTGGGCCTCCGCTGTCGCCAATCTGCGGCCGTTGCTCGTGGCCGTGGCCATGGCCGACACCTGAGGTCCCAGACAGACCCTAATGACTGAGAATGAACTTGGATGCTCTCTGGCTCCGGAGCAAGAGGGCAGTGAGATGAGATGAGACTGCCACCACCGGAGCCATCATCTACTGAAAATGCAGCAACGCGCCCGAAACCCTGGCTGATCGTGCAAAAGTCAACGCCCTGTCCAGGTACATCCCCGGCCTTGGCGCCCGAAATCCCCGAGCTTGATAGTGGACAGGAAGCGAACGACTATGCTCGCAGAAGCGAAGGCCGGATTATATTTTCGACTGGGACTGAGACTGAGACGGTGGAGCCAGGGGTGGAGGGGTCTATCTGGTGCCGGCCTTTTTCCCTAGGAAGGGTATATGGCGGGGATTTATTGAGTGGATGGGGGGAGTTGAATATACGGAGGAAAGGTAGGAGGTCGTGATGCACGATGCTGACGGATCTCTGGGCATTTGTTACCTTTCTATCCGTCTCTAGGGCCACTGTCCCCGGTACCATTCCTGCCTCCCTCCAGCTAACCCAACACCCACCAAGCTTCCTCGCAAAAGCACACAACGAAAGGTACTGCTGCCTGGGTGGATTGGAAAAGTCACTTTGGGCGACGGACTGTAGGTGTGCGAACAAGGAGGTATGTCAGCCCAACCTTCCATAATAACCTTAAGCTCCAACAATCCTCTACGCTATCCCAATCAACGAGGCTAGGGTATATCCTCTCCAGCCGCCTGCCAAGTCCCCCATTCCCAAGGTCTCTGTCCCTGCCAGCTGGAGGCTTCGCTGGTCCGATACGCAGTGTCTGGGGGCGGCCCGACCAGCGAAAACCGCTGTGGCCAGACCTGCACCCCAGTCGTCGGCTCCTCATCATCCCAGAACCCATCAACGGGGACTCCAAAGAACCGTTTCAGCATTTCAGACTTGACCGGCTTCTGCGAGGCCGTGTAGGGGATCTCTTCGGTGCTTTCCAGCACGCGCAGGAGGTACGGACGCATATACGCTGGGAGGACGGGGCTGAGGTCCGCGTGGAGGCGGGCGATCGTCATTTCGGACGCGGACGGCGACGAGGGCCCGGGTTTGATGCGGATGAGCGCGGCGGCGACGGCGCGGGTTTCGTGGTCTGGGACGCGGAGGACATGGGCTTCGGCGATGTAGGGGAGGGAGAAGATGGCGGCTTCGACGGCGAGGCGGGGAACGCGTTCGATGACTTCCCATTGGGACGGGGAGTTAGCAAGGGGTGGGAAGGGAGAGGAAGGCAGGCATACAGTCGTCGTTCTTGCGGCCGTCAAAGACGTATTCGTCGCCGTCTAGGTGGCCGATGTCGCCCGTCTTCAGGAAGCCGTCGTCGGTGAAGGAGGCCCTTGTTGCGTCTTTGTTGCCGATATACCTGACTTTGTCAGTCAGATCGCGAGTGGAACGGTATGGCAATGTGGGTATACTCTATCAACATCCACGGACTCTTGACCAGGAACTCCCCGCGAGTCTCCTCTGAGAGCTTCAGCTCAATAGCCGGGTCCGTCACCAGCCGGCCAACCGAGTTGATGACATTGGACTTCCTGCTCACATCGACCTCCGTCACGCCGCCGCCACACTCCGTCGACCCATACGCATTCTTCAGCGGCAGCCCAGCCAACGCCCACCAAAACCTCCACAGCTGCGGCGCCAAAAACGCCCCGCTACACCGGATGCGCTCAAGATTCTTGAACCCAGACACATACGCCTCTCTCTCGTCCCCCGGAAGCCCAGCCAAGTTCTCCTCATACGCCTCCTTCATCTGCCGCAGCAGAACGGGGTTGAAGATGAGAATGCTGATATGGTGGTCCCGTAGCACATCCCAGACTTCCTGCGCCGGGGCATTCTGTTTCAAGGCGTACACTTTGCAGCCCGCCAAGAGCGGGCCAATGAGGCTTGCGAATCCGCCGCGCCAGTAGGGGGGCCGGTAGCTGAGGGTTGCGCGGCCGGCGGTGGACGGGGGGCGGCTGGTGACCAGGCATTGGCGCGGGAGGACTGAGGAAAGGAATGATGAGCCATGAAGTAAATGAATTAACTAACTAACTAATTATTTAAGCTAGGTGGCTATAAAATATAAAAATATTTAAAAGTGTTAAGCACCCGGGTTATATAACCATAGGTAGTAATTTTTAATACCCCCCTTACCCGGGGTAGTAAATAAATAAAGCTATTTTAGTTTTTTAAAGTAGTAATATAAAGTTATTTTATAATATAGTAAGGTGTTTTATACTAATTATTTAAATAAAATATTAATAAGCTATTTTTTTAAATAGCTTTATAAGTTTATTAGCGGCCTACTTTATTATTAGTATATATAAAAATTTAATATTTTTGTTTAATACTTTCTGGTAAAAAAAATAATAATAAATATTAATATGCTTTAAGCAGGCGTAGTATTTAGGGTTTTTAAATATAATAATTACTTTTTAATTATTAGCATAAATAATTATAGGCCTAAAAAAATATATATACATAAAATTTAGGTATATAATATTTAGCTTAATAAAAAGTAATTAAATTTAAATAAGTTTTTAAGTTACTAGCGCCTAAGTAATATACTTTAATTTAATAAAAAAAAGTATTATACTAAGCTAATATTTTAATACCTAAAAAATTAGTCCGCTAGCAAGTTTAAAAATATATTTAAATATTAAAGTTTTTTTTATTAAATAAAAGCTAGCTTAATTAATATTAATATAGCCTTATAGGCCACCTTTATTAAATAAATAGTATAAAATAAAAAAAAAGTAATATATAAATAATAATATATATACTTAATAATAATTAAGTATTTTTAACCTAAATTACATGTGTACTTTATAACTTTAAAAACTATATGGGTAATATTAAGGCATGTATAAATTATAAGCTAAATTAAGTATTTTATTATAACTTAATAAAGTGTTATATTATTTATAAAAGCCTGGCTATTATAATTTTTAAAAACCTTTTTTATAAAATAGTGTAAAAAAAAGCTTATAGTTTTTTAAGCTAAAGTACTTAAAAATTTTAAGAATATAAAAGTGTTATAATAAAAATATCTTATTTTTATTTATATTAAATAAAATATTAACACTTAAGTAATTTTTAACTTGGCTATTATTTATTACTTTAAAAAGTTTTAAAAACTTTTATTTAAAAGCTTTGTACTAAGCATTATCCTAAAAAAGTATAAAAATATTATTAATATATATAAAAATATATAGGCTATTTTTAATAAATATTAAATAATCTACATGTAGGCGTTTAAATCCCAAAAAAATAAAAATTTTTAAAAAAAAAATATATTATTTTTTAGGTAACTACTTAAGGCTATATATTATTTTTAATAAAAGGCTATATTTACCGGCTTGCTTGTGGCTATTAAAAAGGTTAATATAAATTATTTTTTTAAATTTTATATAAAAAAATGTGGTAATAATATCTTAAAAATATAATTACTAACTAAAAAGTACTATAAGTATAATAAATACCTTAAAAAACATAGGCTTTACCACTGCGGTATACACTTTATAAAATTTTTTATTATAATATTACTTAAAGCCTTTTATAATTAGGCATGCTTTATAAGTATTATTATACTTAAGTTTAAAAACCTAGTAAGTTAGTAATAACTTTATATTTTTTTTATTAATAATATACTAAATATTATTTTAAAGTAACAAGCATATTTTTTTATAACATGTTTTATGCTAAAGTTTTGCATTTTTATAATTAAGCACCTTTTTATATATTTAAGGTTTAAACTTAAAAAAATTAGGATTTTTAAATAATATAGTATTAAATAATTTAAATATAGCTATAATAATTAAAGCGTTAATTTAATACTAAATTTACTATATAATTTTATTAGTAACTACTAGGGGCGCTGTAATAAGAAAAGTAAGAAATTTATTTTTTATTTTAGGATTAATACTAAAAAACTAAACACTATTTATATTTAGTATTTTTTTAAAATATTAAAATAGCTTTATAATACATGTAAAGTATTTAAAGGGCTTAAAACTATAAATTTTAGCTATAATATAATACTTATATTTAATAAAAGTTAAATTATATATATTTCCCTTATTAAAAATGTTTTTTATTATAAAAAAAGGTAAATATTAAAAATCCGGAGGAAAGCAAGCATTATTAAGATTATTTTTAATAATAATTAAAAGTAAAACGCCTGTTGCTTTATACTTTTTTATTTAAGTAAAAATTTTTTTTAAAATTATAAGCACTTTTTTAAACTACAAGCAAAGCCTTTATAAATATTTTAGTAGGTATTTATATAAAAATTTAAGGCGTAAATAAAACTAACTAAAGTTATAATTTATTTAAATAATTATAAAGTTACAGGAACTTTGTAAAAGTATATTTAGCCTTTTTAATATTATTAATTTATTTATACTAATATATTAAGGTATTAAAATTATATAAGGTAGTTACTTAAGGTAACTTAATATTATTAATTTTTTTAAAAATAATATCGCGCATGTATTTAATCTTTTTTATTTTAATATTATAAACTTTATATAAAAAGTTTAAATAACTAATAAAGCGGCCTTTAGCCATGTAAAAATCTAGTTTTATTTAATACTTTTTTTAAAAAATAAAATACTAGTATTTATAACCTAAAGCGCGCTATTTTAAGGTATTAGGTTATTTACTAGTAAAAGCTTTATAAAATAATATTCCTATATAATTATTAAAAATATAATTTTAAAAAAATATAATTATAAAAATAAGGTGCCCCTAAAATTATTTAAAAGTTTAATATATTATTATAATTACTATAAGCGGCTTTACAAGGTAATAATTTTTAATTTTAAAAATATTATTAAGCTAAAAATTATATATAGGCGCTGGGTCCTATATTTTACCTTTATTTTAAAAATATTTAACAAGCATAACATGCTTTTTAGTATTATTATTATAAACATGCTTTATATTAATATTATACTAGGTTTTAAAATAGTTTTTTAAAAAAATATACTTTTTTAGTAATTTATTTTTATCACGGAGTAAAAATACTTAATAAAAATAAGTTATATTATTTATAAATATTATAAAGTAATGTTTTTTATTATATTTATATATAAAGATTAGTTTATAAATATTAAAATAAATAAAATCTCTGGGTTTTATATAAATCTTATAATAATTTTCTAGTAAAAAATAATATTTTTTACTTATTAAGTATAGCTTGTAAAAATACTTAAGGCCGCCCTTTTTAAGCTTTAGGCCTTTAATATTTTAAATAATTTAGTATATTTTTTACTTACTCGCGTGGGCTAAGTAATAATATATTAATTTAATAAAAATTAACTTTAAATTTACTTTAAAATTAATATTAAAAAATAGCTTTATTATAGTAATAAGCAAGCTATTAACTTTTAGTATATTTATAAGCTTTATAAAAAATTAACTAGTTATATAAAAATAATAATAATTATTTAAAATTATAGTATACCCTTTAGCCTTACTATTTTATAAAAAAAATTTATTATTTTTATTTAAAAGTATTTACACGCCTGCCTTAGCAAGCTAGTATATTAAAATAAGATTATAAGCTAGCGCAGGCGCTAGCTAAATATTTTTTAAAATAAAAGTTTTAATATATATTATTAAGTTTAAAAGTATAAAATTAATTATAATATTACTATATTTTTTAGTAAAAAAAGGCGTGCTTATAGTAGTTTTTACCTTAATAATATAAGTTATAAAAAATATAAAATTATATTAAAAAAAGTTATATAATATAATAAACCTAAATTAAGTATTTAAAAATAAAATTTTTTTATTATACTATTATAGGCCGCTACATGGTATTTTATATTAATATAATTAAAAAAAAATAGTAAATTATTATTTATTAATAATAGCTAGTATTACTAAGAAGCGCCTTGCTATTATTATTATTATTAATAAAGGTGTTAATTATATATATTACTTTAAACCTTATTAGCTTAATTATTATATAGTTATTAACTAGTATAATAAGCTCTAAAGGGATTTTAAAAATTATTATATTTATATAAATTATATTTATTATATTTATTATATCCCCCTTAATCGCGGCTTTTAAATATACTAAAAAAATTATAATTATAATAGCCTTTATAGCCTTATTTATAAAAGCTAGGATTATAAAAATAAAATATGCCTTGGGGGCCACGAGAACTAGTTTACTTTATTAATTAATACTTAAAAAAAAAGTAATTACCTAAAACACCGTGATAATAACACTAAATAAAGTTAATATTTTTTATAAATAAATTATTTTTAAAGATCTTATTAATAATTAACTTTTTTTTATTTTTATTTTTATTTTTTTTATTTATTATATTTATAAAAAGCATGTTAAAAGTTACTTTAAGTAACTTTTTTTTTATTTAGCAGCGCTGCGCGTACTATAAAAAAAATATATATATTTTTTATTTTATAAATTATTAAATTATAAGATATTTTTAGTTAAGTAATCCAAGCTTTATAAAACTTTATATTTTAAATTATAGTAAAAAAAAAATAAACCTTTATTTAAAGGGGTAACTTAAGTTTTTAATACCTTAATTTAATAATAGTATTTTTTTATTTATTTAATTAAATAATTTTATTTTATATATTTATAAGCTTTATTATAAAAAGCTTATTTTAAATATTATAAGCTATTATATAGCTATAAGGCTTGTAAAGGGCCTTAAGTAAGTTAAAAGCCTTTTTTAAATTATATATAATATAAAGGTTTACCTAAATAAATAAAGTATAAGTATTTTA